CCACCAGACATACCATGTTATATGCAGGAGCAGGTCACTAGCCTCAACGTCGATCAGAATAATCTTCGTTTGTCTTGGATGCAAGCTCTACCAAAAAGCTTGTCTTCCATACTATAGTATTTTGGTCAATGGTGTACGCTGAATGAACTCGCAGAGATGGCCGACAGAGTCTACGCAGCGTGACGGTGAGCGTGCGATTCTAATCCAGACTAATTTTCCAGCGTGAAGATTCATTGAATTACGCTCACAGTAGCACTTGGCTCTTGTTTTCAAGTTGGTCCAGGATCCCTGTGAAGTTTGTACAGATTTTATTTACTTATTTGACCACTTATCAATGCAGTAACGTAGAAACCTGCTAGATCGTTCGTTTAGTTGACGTTTTGGAATCGAATTTTGGCTACGCGTTAGTCGCTGATCTATTCGGGAGACGCATATTGTGCTTCGACTTCAGGATAACTTCTTGGTTCTTCTCTTAGGGTTTCTGGATAACGGTTAGACAAAGATGCAAGCGAGATGTTGGAGTGTTCAATCGGTAATAATAGTAGGCTCCGGTCAACAAACGGTCATCGCTTGCACTGGTTTCTATGCGAGAAATTCATGTCAGGTACTCTCTACCCGGGGGGGGAGGGTGAGCATAAAGTGTAAATGAAGATTTTGAGAATAAAGGAGTTGTACTTCATAAATAACCTAAAATAAGAATTATTTGTTGTAAAGGAAAAAAATGATGGGAAGAAGGGAGAGGAAAGCTAGCAAGATATAAGATTACCTTCTACATGGGGCTCACAGTTTAACCTATGGTTAACCTTGCACTGATCACTACAAATCAGGGAACCTTTAGCCAGCAGTCGTCCAGTTTGTGCTTAAAGCTCATCACATGTTTTGCTGTGATCACTGCTTCTGGGAGTTTGTTCCAGCTATTCACCATACGGTTTGTTGGAAACTGTGCTCAAACACCCAAGAAAACTCTTCAAACACCGGCCCAGAACCTTCATCCGCTTCAACTTCCTCACGTACAGGGTCATCTCAGAATGGAACAAACTTCCACTAGAGATTGTGAACTCCTCCTCCAAAAGGGTCTTCAAAACCCTGCTAGACTCACACCTAGGGCTTACCATTCCCTGATCTACCTAACCTCCGTCTGCTACAGGAAATCCCCACATTATCCCGCTTGTCTCACATTGTCGCTCTCCTCTAGATTTTTCTTCCCGATGCATGCATCCTTAACCCAGCGGTACCATATCGGAGCCAGCTCCCATTCCCGTCAACATCCCTTTCAGCTCGTGCACCAAACTGCCGAAAAGAAGACAAATCCGGAACCGGGAATATAGGACGCAAGCCTCGAACCCGGGTACTACTTCAAGACTTCAAGACTTCCAGCCTGGAACGCTCTTTTACCAATTTTGGAGAGGGCCCGCGTAATGTCACGTTGTCACTGACAATGAACAGTGAGACACCCGTATCACTGATGCCTTTTATACTCTTAAAGGCTTCTTTTAGATCTCTCCTAAGGCGTCTCCTTTTAAGGGAGAATAGGTTCAGTATAAATATCCAAGTCGGGAAGTCTTGCCACCCAAGAGGGGAAACACCTCGTAAACCTGCGTTACATCGTCTCTAGGACCTTCCTGTCCGGCTCCAGGTATGATGAACACGCTCAAATGCATTATTCTAAGTGTGGTCTCACATACACCTTATATAAGGGTAGTAGCACATCAAGGTTCTGCGAGACAGCAGTTCTCAGAAGTTGGTGCAGTGCTGCCAGTAAAAACTGATTTTCGGACTTGAAATTGCTGATGAGACGAATTCCCAGGTCCATCATTTCATCACTTCTGTGGAGTTGCACTGGGTCTTTAGTGTTAAC